ATATCCATGTACACTGATATTTTAACATAGATATTGATTTCATCTTAAGTTCTTTGCATTACACCAAAAAGAATGCAACCACTGAACTTCTGCAATCGTCCATCCTAAATATTGACCGCGCACTAAGTTGCTAGATAATTTTTTAACTTTGACATTTTTTCTCCGCTTTTTTATATTAAAACGTAGCATAATTTTGTTCTACACAAAAAAATCTTTGGAATAATTTAATAAAAATATTGCCTTATTTTAAAAAAAGGTTGTATGAGCTCACGGTGGTATAAACTAACATATTAAAAACAGTTTTTGACAGTTTTACATCCTTTATAATGCCTAATATACATTCGCAAAATTTTAACGAAATCATAGTAACCGTTTTGGCGAAAAATTTTTTTTAGTTTTTTAACTTTGACATTTTTTTCTGTTTTTTTGTAATAAAACACAACAAACACAATTTTTGTAGGTTGTACACAGAAAATAAGGTCTTTTGAATAACTTCATAAAAATTATAGATTGCTATTTAAAAAAAGTTCGATTCTAAAATTTTTTTTCAAAAATCCGACTCGTTGTTTTTCGTTTCAGTATGCCTAATATACATATCCAAAATTTGAACAAAATCCGTCGAGCCGTTACCTCGCGAAATGCCAACCTATGCACGTTTGCAGGTTACGAACGTACGTACGGTACGCACATACATACAGACGGGAAAAAAGTATTCAACCCCGTATTGTAACAAAACAGTTACAAAGGTGGCCCTTTTTTGCATTAGCCAAAATCCATCTGCCATTGTGTTCCGAGTATTCACTCGACCCCGATATAAATCGGATTGGATTTTGGTACCTTGATTCAAAAATCGTTAAATTCTGTAAGAAACACTTGTTCATCTGATGGTTTGTTTTATTTATTAATATAATTCGTTACAAATATTTTATTTATTGCTGAGTACGTACGACGTCCCTACAATTGTTACAGTAAGTAGCTCGTGCGTATCGTCAAATTAATATAACATAGTATCCCATCTTTCGCATTTCTTTGATCATTGTTTACCGAGTGAGGTCCAAACGTCCGGCGACTGTATTCACGAAAAAGACGAGAGCAAAGATTGATCCTAAACTGATAACGGCGAAATTTTTGAAAGTGTAGGTAAACGAGATCTGTAGCGTAAAAGTATGGTGTCCTCTATTACGTAATAACTAAAACGTATCACAAACACAATAACAATTAAGTCTTGTCTTTAACGCTATGATTAAACTACATACAGGTAACTTTGACTATGCCAATGTGGCAGATTAATTAGAGCTTAAAAAACTTAAATTATGCTCAACAATCAACATTAACATTATATCCGGTGTATATGGTGTCAAGTGCACCCTATAATCGTTAATATGGAAAAATATTCAATTTTACCGGTAGAAACAGTGCACTTTCATCTCTTTCCACCTGTCATAATTTTTATTAGTCCTACAAAAGGTGCTTCAAATCCCAATGAAATTAAAAATGCCGCCACAAATGAAGCAACAGTGTTTCCAAAGTGCACAATTAACTGAAACAAGACGAAATTAGAGATATTAATGGATCAAATGTGTTGTTCACCATAATTATCTGATGCAAATGGAACGGGCCATCCATTTCAAAACTTGTTATGCACATAATTACGGGATGTATTAAATAGGCGCAGTACGTCAGCCTACTTAGCGGATAAATTCCTCTAAAACTGAGTACCGAATCTATTGGTCCTCCGTATCCTGTACTGCACGCAATTGTTATCCATGCAATTGCCAATCCCCATGCTGTATGTCCCAAAGAAGCCTGAAACAGATTAATTAGTCCAGTTCCAAATTGTAACTATCTTACATAGAACGCCGAAACTGGTATCACAAGTCCGTCTCTTCCTAATCCATACACTAACACCAACAGGCAACCTAATGAAAGTACCCACGCCCCAAATACGACTACTTTCGGCATCACCATTTTGTACTTCATCCTCAAGAGTAGATAACCAGTGGCCATTCCGATCAAGTAAGGACCGATCCTTAACCATGGTTTATCGTACAGTTGGTCGAATAAAGCGAACGGTTCCTCAATCCTGGCCACATACTTATACTGCATCGCAATTATGAATGTGACAACCCACGACGTGAATAGAAACACAACGACCGTCCCAACAATCCATCGGAAACATTTCTCATTCCTGAAACGAGCCAATTAGCGTACGTAAAAATCTAGTGGCGCGACCACCTTGCGGCAATTGCCAAGAGTACAATCGCAATTACAAAGAACTGCATATCGTTGGACATATACCAAGACCATAACATGCAGAACTCCGTCAGAGGATAAAAGTTGTTTATGTACAGAGCGTTGCGCCACCAGTGCTCGGGGCAACTGATGTGGTCGATTATTGCTGGACTAAACACTGAAAAGTTGTGGTAATAACGAATTGCCAATTCGTTAAGTCCCAGCACAAAGAGGTAGGCTGGTGTTAATCGAATGTATCGATAAAGTATTAGCAGGATATTTTTTGCCACGCTTAATCCAATGCCGTCCCTTTGCGCTTCCCCACTTTCCGTTGGCGTTTTTAGTTCACGCTTTAGATATGTTGTGGTAAGGAGAAGGCCGCTATAAAGAAAACAGCAATTAATTTTAATCTTCACATTGAAATAATAATCATCAGCTCCAAAACTATGACTTGCAAGTAAAATCAGAACACAAACTCTTCCGAGTTTTATATTGTGCCTACGGAGCATACTACCACGCTCCCAGAAAGATATACCTTCCGATGTACTAATCCCAGAGATTTCCGGAGGAACTCTAGGCTGTATGTCAAACATTTTCTCGGTCTATTCTTCATTTGACTAATTCTGTGAAAGATATGTTTTGGGAAACATTTAGAAGGCTCTCAAAAACGAAGAATTTCTGGTATGCACTCAAAGACTCTGGAAATATATATAAATACCTTCCAATGCAATACAGAGCTTATATCGATTTTCTAGCGCACCCCATCGCATCAGTTGTAGAAAAGATTTAACGTGAGACTTTGATCTATTAAAGTCTATACCCTTTGAAGGTGTCTCAACCGACTGAGGAATTTATTGCTGTGAAGGAGGTAATTTGTACTGAACCAGTAATTTCAACAGTTGCAGACACGAGAGTCGTTAAAACACGTCGAGGAAGAATCGTGGAAAAACCGCGACGTTATGGGGAAAGGAATCGCCTCATGTCCCTCCAGAACGAAGAATAATGTTAGTATATTGTGTTATTATGTTATAAATGGGGTGTAGGTAGATTTCATTCCGCCATTTTGTTCCAATATGGCGGAATTGGCTGATTCACGAACCGAGATATTTATGAGTTACACCAACCCTTAAATTTTGGTTGAAATGGGTTCATAATTACGAAAGTTAGAGTGGTATACAATATGTATAAACCTATAAATATACTGGTCCGAATAGGCAGATAGATAGAAATCTACCTAAAAAAGTTTTGTCTCGATTAATTATCTAAATGTTGTGCGTCATGGGTATCAATCTGTAGCTGCACTTGTGTAGGTTCTAGGTTTATATTTTATTTTTATTTGTATATATGAAGTGTTCCTTCTTGAGTACTCAAGTAAATTTATTATTAATAATAAATTTACTTGAGTACCTGAAATCTTTATTATTTTATTTTTACTTGACACCAATTAGCAATTGCAACGGAGGTTTATTGATATATTCACCCGTATAAGATACGGACCTGTATTTTTTATAAAATTCATGTGCGTGTGCCTATTAAACTAATTATTTGGTACCCGAAGGAAAAGTGAGGAATCCTTGTGCTTGATTAATATAAATTATTTGCTTATTTCGATATTTCATGATCAATAAACCAGTTCTTTTTTGTCCAATACGCCCATTAACCTACAAAATTGGAGATGTTAATCTTGACCAAATTTACCTCGGGAACTCTCACAAGTCTATTGAGAAATCTCATTAATTTAGTTAAGATCAAGATCTCATTGCAAGAGCAATACGTACCTTATAAAGAAAAACGTGTCTACCGAAAACGTTCCATTGGAAATCGTCTGATAAAGGTAGGAACGTTCGGTAACGGTCCTCAACGTTTTATTATCGGCAACGGCGAAAACCTCCAGGTAACTGTGCACGAGAATGATCCAGGAAATTGAGAAAAAACGAAGTCCGTGCAAGCAAGCAATTGACTCCTTATTCAAATGATCCACGTTTAAAATTCTTCTTCCGTTTGTAATTGCAGAAAAACAGAGCAGCACGTTCTTGGGCAGTTCTATAAATGTAAATTATCCAATTAGATTTCCTAATTTTTAAATCATAAATTGAACTGTAGGTACTTCCTTAATTAAAACTGTAGTTCGTGTGTTTACAAATCACGCTAATTTATTATACATTACGTACACACAATAGCAACTCATTAACATGGTAGACTTTCTGAAGGTATGCTTGTGGATAAATGTCAATGCTCTGTTTTATGCAAAAAATTGCATTTTTGTGATTAAAGTGCCACTTATAATGATGTAAGTTAAAAATTTCCTTAATTAGTGAACCAACATTCTTAGTTAATGAAGAGACTCGTGGCTACCTACTTGGTTATTGAAGTAGAAAATTGAGACAGCATACACTTTGTTATGTAAAACAGATATTATAACCTTACCAAATATTCCAACTTTCACACTCTTTTTGGAAAGGTCAGGATCTGCAGTTGTTCCATATTGCTTCGTTACTTCAACATCTTTATCCTTGGACAAACAGTAGTCCACCGCCGTTGAGATCAATATTAACACAAGTACAAATGTCGTGACTGCACTGAAATGTACCAAAGTCGCATCAATTTTTATCTAGGTATATTCGATCAATTTATTTTTACTTGAACTCCTCACTCAAAAACTCTTTGAAATTACCTACATAAATGGTTACTCCAAATTACTAATTAATTAGCAATATAATTAGACTAGGAGGTGAATATAAGGAAATGGGAACGCCGAATATGTCGATTTTGATTTTATTCTAGGATATTTGAGGGAAGTAATTATTACAACTTACTACATGTGCAAATAACTATAGAGAAAGCGGTAGTTATACTAAACTTCACACATATCAGGAAATTGTACGCCCAAAGTTTCCTTTAGATATTTATATTTGCTGATATTAATATAGTTTCACTTTTCTTTTGATGTCGTTGATTATGTAAATTAACCATAAATCCATTTTTTATACTTAGCTACTTTATTTGAATTCGATAAGTAAGTATTAGGTTTCCTATTTCATTTTTTTTTCTATGATAAAACCTCTTATCGGATCTCAATTTAGGATACGAAAATTAACTCTTGGTTGCTCTTTCGAATCATAAAAAAGAGTCAGTTTTAAACGCAGAAAGCAATTATAAAGGTCATGTCAGGTTATGTGTCCAAACAGATACTATTAGTTAACATTAATATTAATAATTAATATTATCGTATTAGGACCAAATGGGCACTACGTGTAAAGAAAGGGTACAGTGGAGTATAAAGAAATTTTTCTAATAATTATTATTACAAAGTACATGCGAATGTGCGTGTGAAAAAGCCAGAAGGAGCATAATTTTGTAATCTAAATTTAATTGCGTTATTTATTTATCTACAATTAACTATTAATAAATCTATAACAGTCTTGAAATGAATTAATTTATAACAGTAATTATTATTTATCACAGCTAATTTAAATCATAACACGAGCGGGAGCTTAATATTTCACTTCACATCGATGTTAGAACTGACTCGAAACAGATCAACTCGATTTTCTTATATAGCAAACGCTCATTTCTCTCGAAAGTTCTCGAACGCTCCCGAATAACACACCGTTCATTTAGGAGTCTACCAGCTTTAAAAACCACCCGGTATAATATATGGACGAATAATTGGGCGCTTCGTTACTAAGAAAACCTTCTAAGTTTATTTATTTCTTCTAGGAGTGAGAAATGGAAGATAAAAGTAATGTTTTAATTTGTAGATCCGTGTAACCACTGAAAGGAAATTAGTTGGCGTATATAATTGTGCAGTTGGGACGGGGGAAGCAAGGAAAAATTTTAGAATTTAAGCTCCGTTAAGTAATTATTAGATGATTTTAGTTTCTTATGTTAATTTAAAAAGCTGCAAGGTCATGCAGTTTATTTCATTGTAAGATCTGATGCGATTGATTGAAATAATCCGGTCATTTAGTTCAGTATAATTAAATGATTTGCAATAAACAGGTACGACATGCTACACAGGGCGATGACACGATGTTGACTCCCAACAAACCGCGTAATCTAACCTGAAGTTGCATATTTGCCCTAAAGACCAAAGTCGCTGTATAAATAGTAAAAACAATCAATCAGAATTATGCTATCAGGAAATTAATCAAAAGAAATCCTTTAAGAACCTCCTCAAGTGATTAATTGGCGAGATTTTACGGGAAATCTTTTAAGAAAAAGGACCCAATGACATTAAAATACAGAGACTCAAAGAAATTCAAAGAAATTTAAATGAATTGCTGCAAGTGATTTCTTACCAACTGCCAAACATCCATAATGGTTTACATTTACAGTAGAACATTACAGGGACATATTGCAAAACATTACTAGCGTAGCTCTTAATTCCAGCTCAACCTCGTAATACTAGGGCCCTGAATTTTGAGCGTCTTGTCTTTTGGAATATTCGAGTCTTAGAACTTTATAATGTTCATATCTTCAAATTTAATTGTTTGTTAAGCAAAAAAGCTCCAAGCACTAGAATCATCTGTTAATCGATACTTAGAGTCTTTGATCTAATGAAGCTTCGAATTTTCAAGCTCGCAAATATTCAAGTGGTAAGTTGAGCATTGAGCCACGAATTATGCGCCTTTAATCCTGAACCTAACAAAACCTTGAAATTCGGATCTTGAATCTTGAATGTTGAATTGTGAATCTTGACCCCTGAACAATAGATTCTATACCTTATATCCCGATAATACCAAGCGTTCGGTTTTATAGGCCCCTGAGTTTGTAAGCCGTTGACTTTAGTCCTTTGATTTTGTGTTTTGGTCGACCTTTTAACAAGAAATTTCAGGTTTAATTCGGTTGTTGCTCCATTTTTTAACGCAAACAGAAATTTCGTGCAGGGCGTACACGATGTCGTTTAACAATTGACCCAGAACCAACAGGGTAACTAACAACCTGAAATTTAGTACTTACATGCCCAAAGGGCCCAGAGCTAGTGCCTTTTTCGCGGAACTTTGAACTGTGCGCAGTTACCGACTAAATAATCAGTACTGCTAATCAATGACCTGTCTTCATATGAAGGTTTGTATATCGATGAAGACTGGACTATAACTTTATACAATTTTAAATAATGGTGCAATTTTAAAAAGTAAACCCTCGAATTAAAAAAATTATGGGTCCACCACGTCTTACATAAAAACTGTAGGGGTTGCGACACTAGACCGCTAATGGATAAAGAGATTAAGTACTACATAATCTTCGGCGGTGCATTGTAGGGATGTTGTTGGTACCAAACCAGAAAACATAGGAAAAAACGTTTTTTATGAGAAACTATTTTTTATTCGATTTTTAAAAATATTATAATCATTCTTCTTCTATAACATCTTAAAGGGTTCCAAAATTGATCTGTCGTCTTTATATAGGTACCAAAGTTGTATGATAGTCAAACCTATTAACTTCACTTCACTAACTTTTTGGTTTTTATTTTTAAAAATGTGTTAGTAATTCTTCAGCTGAAGTAGCTCTAGAATGTATATTAGCTAACAAACAAAAAGAGAAAAGTATTTAAAATAAAAGTTGACATCCTTAACCACGTGAAGCTAAACGTGTAGCACTAATTGAAACTTTACTCTCTACTACTTATTATGTAACACCTATATAGTCATTATTAAAAAAGTCCTCAGGTAATGTGTCGGCATCTACAATGACATACATTCGATCAATTCAAACATTTATATAACAATAAAAGATTACCGATTACGTATTGGTTGGGTAACTGACATTGTTGGAAATTAGTCAATTGTACAAGTTCAATATTACTTACCTTAAGATGTGAAATTTGATATCCTGCAGCATTGAATAATCGCCGGGTACTGCGCGTACAGAAACCACTGAAAGTGAAGTTGCTTGGGACCGTTCTTGTTTTAGTAGACGTCGGATATCGGATGTGGTACATGATCTTGGAAGACATTGTCCCAAGTGTAGTTGACGTGTCTGAAAGAAAAATTATAATAAATATAAAAGTTCTAAGCTCTAAGTACACAGTCCAGCCGACAGACAAAATGTTTTTCAGTTTTTACCCGCAAAAAATAAACTCAGATTGTTTGTAAACCATTTATCTATCCTAGTGTCTTCAAGGGTTTTGGAAACTAAATACTAACAAGATGGTGATGGTGCACTCGCACACAAAAATCCACATGGACTATACGAATTGTAGATGTATTATCAATCAAGATCCTTTCTATACAACCGGAACAACAAAATGGAAAAAGTATAATTCCGTGGCAAACATTTAAAAAAATAGACAAAGATAAAATGAGTTACGTGGGTATGGTGGAACGTGCGGAACTTTATTTACAACAAATAGTATATTGAAAGACAAGTGTTACAATGCGACCTATTGTAATACGACTATCTTGTGGCACGAGTGGCGACGCGAAGCGTAGCCACGAGTGTCCGCAAGATAAGAGTATTACAATAAAGCATTGTAACACGCGTTTTTCATACTATTTTTTCTATTTCGGTGCTTTAATTAATTTAAAAAACCATTATCAGAAACTATAGGGAACATTAGAACTAACATGTTTTACGTTGGGAACACTTTTTATGCCGTTAAGTTTTAGGTTGGCAGCGTAGTAAGACTGACATTTTGAAGTTCAAACATGGAAGTACCTGGAAGTACCCAACGAAGTACCTACTTGTACTAACTAGTAACTGCCAACTTAAGAGATGAGTTACCAAAAAAAACGACTATAATCACTGTCTTTGTACAACTGTTTTCGCCGAAAACAGTTGTACAAAATCATCATTGTGACACCGAAATAGAAAAAAAAGTAAGCCCACGAGGCCGTCAGGCCGAGTGGGGTTATTTTCTCAAGTGACTTATTTGTAATTAACACACGTGCACCACACAAAACTTTATCCAACACCTCCTCAAGCTGGTTTAAAACGTGGAAATCTTAAAAACTGCGTGTTCCGCGAAAAGCTAGGGTGCATGGAATACAAAAGCAATAATTCGTTGCTATGGGGAATAATAAACAACAAAAAATTTAGTCAGAAAATTTATATGGATTTACTTATGGTTCCTGTCTTTATCTTGCTAGTGAGTTATTTTACGTCCATAACTCATTAGTGGGTTATATTATACCTTACTCGTTTAATTTCGTCATGATAATGACTGGATAACATAGAGGTGTTGGATAAATTCTTTTTTTTAATAGGAAATCGCCCTGTATTGAAACGAATCTCCATTACACCAAAAGCTCTCAAAGCTTGGATAATCAAAGAAATAGATTAATGGTTTTCAAGAAAACTTCAGAATATTTTAGAGTGAATTCAGGGTACATTCCCTATTGATTTAAGGAAGATTTTAGGACCAGTAAGGTTCAAAGAGAATCAGTAATTAACTAAATATTATACACATTCACTAAATATTAACACAATATTAAGGCTTTACCTTTTAATTTATTCAAATCAAGAACTAAAGCTTTTCTTATTGATAAAGCGTTTTACTCGTATGAGGAATCTTTCAGTACAGAGTTCTTTTCGTGACAATTAAGTATTGTTGTTATAATTTTTGTTTGTTCTTACATTTGTAATATTTTTATTTTGCTTTTGTGTTGACCAATGTATGTAGGCTGTTCTACGAAACATTAAATAAGCTTTATTATTATTATTATAAATAATTTTAGGCTGAAGTTTAACAGAAAGAATCAGGTGAATATGCTCAAGAGATTTTCAAGAATTTGTAGGATTTTATGATATGCAACGGTACAGGAAAATTATGGGTCTTTCTCCGGAAACCTTTACCAGGTTTCCTGCAAATAAAGGCTAAGAATGATTTTGTGTGAAAAAGAAAGGTACCTCTTGAGGATTTAAGGAGAGTCGAGAAGTTCACCAAGATTTCACAAGGAGTATTGGTGAGATCAGTATCGAAAGCATTCTAGGGTTATTTTCAGAATTCCAAGAGAATTCTAATACAGAAATTAACACAATTTAAAAAGAATTTCAGGTTTAAAGAAAATATTTAAAAACATTTAAGAGAATGTTAATTAGGTCTACCCAGTAGCAAAATAACTATTGAAATACAACAAATACTAATGTTATAACGGTGGGCATTAAAATAAAGCAGTGTTAGGAACTTAACCTTAAATCTAACAGGCACGATGGCGTATTGTGGGAGGTGAGACGAGTTTATGTTCAATATACTGGGATTCTTCCGAGAATTTAGTAGTTTTTTTAAGAGATTCTTTTCTGATGTTTGCAGGGTACATCAGATATTCTCGGAAGGGTTTTCAGAAGTTCTTGGAGGATCATTAAAAATTGTTCAGGGGATTTTCAGACTTATTTTAAATGTATTTCAGAATTCTCTTTCAAGAACTTGTAGGATTACTCAGGTTCTCCTCAAAATATTCTCTTGAAATATATTCAAAGGTTTTAAATAATTAAGAAACATAGCTTTCAGGTTAAAAATCGATAATTGTTCCGATAAACTGCCCTATACTGATTTTTTCATTGAAACATCCTTAAATTGTCCGTCAGACATCTAGGTATAAGAGGTTCTGTATATTTTCCCTCACATATTTCTTAAATTCTTTAGATTCTTTCGAGATTCCCTTATCTAATATTTTTGAGATATTTTTTAGAGGATTTCTAAAAGTTTGGTAAGATTGTTCAGGGTGTTGCCTAGAAGACCGTAACGGAAAGAGATACAATGTAGGTTAAATGGGGACAAAGTTGCCCCTTTTTGTGAGTAAAGAAACGTATTTAAAATTGTTGAAACATTTTTGTAAATAACTTGAGATATTACCGAAAAACTGAAATATATTTTGAAAACGAAATGTAACATTTTCAGTTTTTCGGGGATATCTCATGTTATTAAAAAAATTTTTTTTTTAATTTCAAGTGCGTTTTTTATTCACAAAAAGGGGCAACTTTGTCCCTTTGCAACGTACACTGTATCTCTCACTGTTACGGACATCCTAATGGTGATCCACGAATTTGAACCACTCTGTATAGTGAGCTCAAAAGATTCTCCAGATTTTCTGAGATTAAAGACGTTTATAGATTTTTGATACAATTTTCATGGACATTGTAAAATTCTTTGGAAACTTTCTCAGAGATTCTTCGTTCATTCTTCTAGGTGATCTTAAAGCTGCTTGAGAAGGTTTCAAAGTTCTTTACGGATTAGAAAAAAATCTTCAGGAATGTATCAACGATTTTTTGGGAACATCTGTTAGATATTCTCTGAAAAACACATTTTTAAGATATTTTCAAATACTCTTCAGAGAGTGTTCAGAACTTGGGCCAAGGTTCTTCACAGGTCACTTAAACATTTTCAACTTTCTTCAAATTTAGAGCTCTTTTTGAGATTCGATTCGTAAGAACTCGTAAAGTGTTTGAGGTGATTTCTGGTGGATTCGTATATGTTTCGGTGTGATTTTTCGGAAGTGTCCTCTGGAAAAGATTCATGTGGTCGGCTGCATCAAAGAGGATTCCAGGTTCCAATTCAGGTTTGGAAAGCATCTACGTCTAATACTCTGCGATCATGGCAGCTTCTTTCCTTCTACTCGCTTCCATTTTGCACTCGTTCACGCTCTCTTCATAGTTTTGTCTTCCACATTTACCTTGTCTTGTCTTGGCTCCGCACTCCTTTACAACCTTCAAGCCTCTTCTACCACTTCTGATGTATCTATCTTGGTTCTATAATACCTCCTGAACGAATCGTTGATGCTCCACTCCTTTCTCATTTTTCTCTCAGCCTTGTACGCTTCCTTGTTCCACATTTCTTCTTTCACATCTGTTCCTTCCTCATGTGCTTTTGATTCTTTTGCACTTTAGGAAGTTACCTATATTTTTTGTTTGCTTTTTACCACTTTCTCGTACATTTCATATACAGGGTGGCAATTTGGAAACTTACAACCCCCCCATGTCTTAGTAAATAAACGAGATATTTAAAACAAGTTGTAAATCGGCATATGCTTGATTAAAGCGCATTTTTGGTAGTACAGGTCAGTATTTTATTAGCGAAGTTTAAAATTATCGATCTCACGCGTAATTTTGGCTGCGTTAAATAATTAATTTTATTTAGTTTCAACTGAGGGTACGTCTTTATTTTGTAAAACAAATCACAAGGTAAATAATTAAGTTTTTCGTAAGTTCCTAAGTTCATCGCCAACTATGTCATTGTGATTCCCCTTCCGAATTACCGAAACGGATTTTGATTTTTTTAAATATCTCGTTTATTTACTAAGACATCGGGGGTGGTAAGTTTTCAAATTGCCACCCTGTATAGTTGTGACACTAATACATTTATACTTTAAATCTGTTAAAAAATTCTTTAATTTTTCTTCAGTATTATTTTAATATTATAGCAAAAAATTGCCTTATACGGCCAAAAAGACTATAAATAACTATAATAAATTTTACGTCAAACTTTGAAGTTGGGGGGGGGGGGATCCTAAAAATTGAGATATCTAATTCAAAAAATCTAAAAGAGCACAATATTATAGTACCTATAGTCGAAAATTGGATAGTTAACATTGGTACTCCACCTTCATTGACCTCATTTGTTTGTGTGGTTGGCACCAAAGCCAAATTAGATGGCCGTATTATTTCAACAAGTATACAGGGTGTTACATTTAAGTTGTGGCAAAAAAGATAAGCTTTTTTTTAATAAATCGAGTGTCGCAAATGGCTCGTTTAAAAACATACTCTTTTTTAAATTAGACATATCAAGGACGTCCTTGAATTGGATAGGGTTCAATTTTGTAAATTTTTTTTCCAAAATTCCTACCTGAAGATGGCGTACCCCAAGGTAAAAATTTTTTTATGGATATTGCAAGATCTTCTTCGTCCTTTGTTCGAAGAAAGTTGATCCCTTTCGGTCTCCAGAAAAAGTACTAGGTATGGATGATAATATTTAAGAATAGAATTAGTTTGCTTTTACCTCTTTTAAATCTTGAATTGACTGAGAGAATTTATGATAATAAAAGCTTTCCAGTAGCAGATACTAGTTATTCTTCAGCAAAAAGGTATTCAGTGCCAGTGAGAGAAGGTTATTTAATCATTTCACGGACTGCAAACGAAGAGAGCGTTTTTATAATACCTTCCTCGACGTTGTATACTCATTAGTACCACTATGCGTGTTTAATGGTATAGGAGTAATTAAAAATTGACTTACCACCGGAGTAATGTTAACGTTAACGTTTATCCTAATGATTCCGACATAAAAGTATACAGGAAATGGCGGAAGAACGGCGTTTTCTTCAGGGATTGCCAATTCCGCGCACAGGGTGCTGGAGCCCAACCAGTAGTCGTTCCCAAAGAAAAATTGACTAGAATATCTTCCCGATGCATCGTGCACTGCGTAAAGATAAAAGGTTACGTTAGATAATCGCTATGTAATAATCGTTTAACGAAATGCAAACAAGTTACGCAACGTGACGCGAAAGAAAAAGAGGAGAAAGTTATGTATGCCGTGTGGCGGCTGGGTCAATCGATTATATTAATACTAGTAAGAATGACCAACTTTTAATAGCCCAAAGCGTGTTATTTTGCAGCTCATCCAAATAGACGGATAGATCAGAGCGACATTCCGGATTCTTTACGCTCGTTAGTCGTCTCTTCCAATTATGGTGGTTATATAAACGCGACATCCACTCCATATCCGGTAATTGCTCTGTCGATACGTCTTGATCGATGGATTCGTCTTCTACGGATGGAGGTACCGGTATTTGAATTCCATTCGATAAATACGAAAGGTCCGTAGAATTGTACGACACATACTTCGTAGTCGCACAATAACTTTGTACTATTGACACAACCACCACCACGAAACCAACACATCTTTTTAAATTGGCCATCTTATGTCTTATCGTCACATAAACTAACCATCTTTTTTAAATACTGCACATCCACTGTCAATTTCCGTTCAATACTGTAACACACAGACGATGATCATAACCGAAGTTATCCCCCGAAACGTTATCTCTCCATGAGAGAAAGGAGTTCTGCCCCACTTGACGCAATTTTGTTACTCAATGAGGGAATTTTTTAACATCCACGAATCCTATTTCGAACGATTATTGTTATTCAGCTGATCGTGAAGATGAACTGAATTGACAAATCTTCAAAGTGAGAAAGTTATTATTCAACGATAGTATATTTGCACTTTCTACCTAAGCATCTTTTCATCATCACCGGAGTGGTTACTGATAAATTACTACTTAAAGATTGGTTTTGTTTGCAAAATTTTAAATATTACCTGTAGGTACGCACGGTTTACGTAACTATGACAATTTCTCTTTGGAGGTGAAATGTACGTTTCCATAATTAAGTATCGTCCGTTATTTTAATTCGACCTTACGCAGCTTTGGTTATTCAGGAAATCTTGAAATTGGAATGGTTATTCAATAGGTAGTCAGTCACCTGCAGAAGTTAACTGTTATTCATGGAATAGTGTTGCATGAATCTTATAATATGAGTACTCCCATAATCTTTACTTATTTAATAAAAAGTAACCATTATTTCCTGCACTGGAGCTTTATCAACCTGCATAAACAAACATGAGAAAGGTCCTGAGATAACCCCAGAAGAGATTTAGTAGGATCCTGTCCTGAAGAACTGTAGAGGAACGTTCCTGTGAAAAACGTGTTCGGGGAGGATTTCTTATTCTATCGAGTAATAAAACAATTGGTGCCGAAAGCTGCGTCATGTGAAAGGAGCTAGAAGTTGTTCTCCCAATCTCGGCCTAAAAGCATTCGCTATGGTGGCATTAAAGCCATTCCTAAACAAGTGCCCGCGTTAAAAATGCGTAAGAGACAAGCGCCTACCTGATGACAGTTTCCTGATATCAACAAATTCAATCCAGGAAACACCTTGTATACTCGTATATATATATAATTTAATTTTCGGTCCGACAGCCGAACAATAGAGTACTAGCCATCAACGACACCCAAGTACCGTGAAATTGCCCCCGGTAATGAAGTGACATCGGAAAATCCCAAAAACTTTGAAACATGTGTTTAGATTTTCACGAAAAACAACATCCTACAATTTCCCACTGGTGTCCAAAGTAAAATTTCCCATGATTGTTATTTCCCAGTTATTATATACTCGTACAACCAATTTGAAATGTTGTGCTGATACTATTTGTGGGTATAAAAAAGTATAATATACTAATATCATACTTACTTAACATTAAAACGCTTTCATTCTTCTTATTTTATGCCTATTTAATGCTAAGTTTTTGCTAGTTATTTAAAATATACTATTCAATTTTGTTTCGTTTTTGTTCACTTAAATCCGCAAACGCAAAGAAAACAATCAAAAAACAAACAATGTTAAACGATTTGAAATATTGATAATTCACTCATTTATTAAAAAGGTCAGGAACATTCAAAAATTAAAAAAGTTAAAACTCAAAACTTTAATAGAAAATTAAAATTTACAAAATTAAGCAACTGTGGACAAGGATCCAATGCTGTTAGATATTGAAACAAATAAAATTTCATAACAATCTGGAATAATTCAAAAGACTTGTACCTACAAACAACTCGCGCAAAAATTCAAAGAGAATTTGTAAAATATATGTAAAATTTAAACGAATTTTTGCATGTTACTATAGTTCACAATTGTGTCTACTAGTAAAAAATTCGAAAATTAAAAAATTAAAATTAAAAATGCTTTAAAAATTCATAAATATTTCACCACCCCATGAAAACATTCAAAGAATTTCATAGCAATGAAGTACGAGACAATAAACATTAGTAAATGTACACAAAAAAAATTGATTTCTCCGGATCCTTAAAAAAATCAGAAAAATTCCTTCTGAACATTCAAAAAATAAAAAAAATAGCTTTCAAACCAAAACAAATTCAAGAGAATTCAGACAACATAGTTTAAATTAAAAACAAATTCGGAAAAATTTAAAAAAAAGGAAAAGGCTTTCATACATTCGAAATAACTATCGCCAAAACTTTAAGAAAAATAAAAATTAAAAAATTAAGCAACATGATTTAATGTTGGGTCGAAAATTTAACACAATATTTAAATTCCACAAACATTCTTTCCTTACGTAGCAAGATCACTGGGAATAAGATCAATGGCACCTTCTTAATGCCCAAGACACGCGCTTGGTAAAATTTCACCGACAAAGTGTATTGTGATCAAAACCTGACGAAATCGTTATTTATACACCACGATGCATTTTTTGTGACCGTGTATTGTCCAAATTATGCTAAGATAATCCCAAATCTTGGGAATTTAGATCCTGATATTATTTCCACCCATCAAAAATTAGAACACAAGCGCCACTAACGTTTACATCAATAATAATGTGTTCTTGATATAAGCCTTCATTCCAACAGACAGTGAGAAGGGCCAGTGCCTGATTTAGATGTGTGGAGGCCTCGGATCAGTAAAATCAGAGGCCTCTGTGCCCCAGTAAAAAAATTAGTAAATACTGACCTATACGGACATACAAATATTTCCGATAAAGAATTATGACATAGTTTCAAGTCCTTCCGATTATTAGGGGTGCAGCGTTAATGTGGATAAGAAAGTGAACGGAAATTTTTGATTTTCTTGTAAACGAGAGGCGCACAAATTGGCACAAAATGAGAACAATATTTTGGCGCTGTAACAAATTCGGGTGTCGATTCAAGAGTGCTAACTTAATCCAGTCCGTATAACCCAAAGCGCACCCTATGGCAAACCATGATACGAAAAAAATCCTATTATGTCTGATATATTGGATTAAATTTTCGTCGATATCGATCGATAAATAAGTGCTAAGCCATGCGGATCCGGAAACGGTTTTCCACTTGCCACGGAAAGGCTAGTGTAGATACATACTATTCAAGCGCCGCCGCCCTTATAGGATAGCCCACTTCGCCTGTTAGGTACTGGATTAAATTTGCATTGATATTGATCAATAAATAAAAAGGCTTCCTGAAACGTTTCCCTCATATCTCCATCATTTATGAATTAGTACTTAATTTTTCTAAACATTCCAGTACTTATATCATTTTTACACCTTTTTAAACTTTTCTACACGTTTTTAAAACATTTTCAAGTTAATAAAAAAATTTTTGAAAAGCGTTTCTTTCACATTTCCGTCACTTCTAAAAGATATCATAATTTTTCCAAAAGAAACATTTTCCGAAGCATTTCCAAAATTCCGAAACAATTTTAAATTGTGCTGCCCTTTTCTAAAAATAGTTTTTTCGTGGCAAGTAGAAAATCGCTTCCTACTGGAAATTCACGTCTTAAGTTTTTTCAAATGTAATAAAATACGGCAGACGAATAAGATATCTCGAAACAGTGTTTCAATCTCCTATGTCCACGTTATTTTTTTCATACAGGGTAAAGGTTTTGAAGTTATAGCCAATAGTCAAGTCACAAATGACAATTTTTCAATAGCGTGGGAGTTCCTATGTGAACAATTTACAGATAAAAGAGCATAAATACATGTACATACGAAAGCTTTAGTCAATATTGGATCTATCAAAAAAGAATCTTCAAAAAATCTCAGCCATTTGGAGGACCATGTAAGAAGATCTTTCAAAGTATTAGGACAACCCACAGAACCTTGGGATACTTTAATTACATATTTAGTATGTGCAAAATTTGACCCAGTGAGAATCAGGGAGTGGGAGACTGTTTAAATGATTCATCCAATTTAGAAAATTTCCTATGACTTGTGAAACAATAAAAAGTGAAAATGCTTAAGAAAATGAAGGATAAAAATACAGGAGGCAAATTCAGACCAAACAGTAAAGGTACATTCGTTTAAACCACAAACAGTTTCTGAGTTTCTAAAAAGAAATGCAATTCCTTAACTCAAAGCACTGATAACTTCTTAACGTGACCTGTCAAATTAATTAATATTAGACGTGACCTAAAATGTACGCGGCCTTCTCTCAATAAAAATTTTGTTGCTTCCTTATTTAATAAATAGATATTAGATTATAATCCTTTTTATTTTTCATTTGCCTATATGCCAATTATATCTGTCATATGAGATATATGTACGAGTATAAAGCAGTCTTACGCCTGAGGGCGTAATGAGAAGGCATAATGGATTGTCATCTCATTATGCCCTCAAACGACCTGTCAAATATATTGATGGAGTTTTATTATGTAGTAAAAAAAAGTTGCTATTTTATTCGTATGAAGCATTTTATTGTTGGGCAAAGAATAATCATTACATTATTGTATATTGGAAAGCATTATTTGGAACGATGAAAAATAAAATTTTTTATGCAACTCAGGCATTACTCGATATATAACCCTCGGGCGACTTACAATCCCTCGGGCCGGGGGGCCTCGGGCTCTTTCGCCCTCGGCATAAATATCGCCTTAATGCCATTGATGCATAAATAACTATTATAAGCACCCAAAAGAGGTAAGTATTAATTAGACTTCATGGTGCAGAACTGTCAAATTTGCCCTTGCAACGATTACTTTTATTATTCAGAACAATCATACAATCACGTTATTTATAGAAATTAAAAGTGCAATTGCTCGGATTAGAAATTGTAATATCACTTAAACTAACAGTCCCTTCACTCGTTTGTGGAATGTTTATCGCAGCTCCTCCACACAGATTTTCTGAGCAATTTTGATTTTTTTTGCAGAAAACATCCCGCGGGGAGTAGAAGCGTGCGGTTAAAAATATAACTCCAGTAGGTACCTAATAATGTGGAACAATTTTAACTTTAAAATGTACATTTCATATATTTTCACATATATTTGTGAAACGCTTTGAAATTTATTTCAAGGCGAGAGACTACTAGACTAGTAATGTAAAGTAAAAACGTCAACTTGTAAATTAATATAAAAACTCTCTAAAAATAATTCAGTCTTTCAGTTTACAGTAAATACAGAATACTTCAAAGCATTTAGCTTATACAACCCTAACGAAAGTGGTGTCAACTTTCTTACTTTAAATGTTCATCATATTCGAAAGGGCACAACTTGCATGTATGATGTATGTACATACAGAGTGGCCCAACGAGAAGTATACAGAGGGCTTTTAGGGTATTAAATTTAGAAATTTCGAAAAATCCTTGAACACGTCAATTTTGTATTCGAGGGGGACAACTTTTGGAATACAAATCACGAACCCAAGTCTTCA